CAGATAGCACTTGAAGAGCAAGTCTCTCCTGCAACAACGGAATGTTTAGGCAGATGTGTTTATAGCAGAATACACAACAAACTCTGAAAAATCTACCAGAATGGTAAATCTCAGTATAAATTATCACCATGATCATTTTTCCCCCCTCAATTAACTTTTAATAAATGCCTGTTCTGTGCCAGATAGTCTGCTAGGGAGTTCTGAAATGCTTCAGAGTTGGTGTTAGTCATTTATTTTCTCAAAATATTGTTATGGTTATTGGGTTTGAATCCAAGCCTTTGCCCAGTAGGCTTTCAGTTACTCAATTAGAATGAAGCCTTTTTGCTCTTTTGGGTATCTCAGAATTATAGAGGATGCCCCACTTTCTGAGGAGAGAGGCCTCACAAGCTAATGCACTCAAAACCTCCCCTAGTTCTGTAATTCCTTTTATTCCAAAATCTGTCATTTCCTTCTCAGCTGCTTTTGGTGAATCACACTGCTGCTAGAGTAGCTGCGTCTAATTACGGCCCTTAAAAGCACGGAGCATAGAAATGGAAAGCAAAACACTCTGAAATTTAGAGGAACAGTGGTTTTTCCAACCCATTGATTAACCCTGTGCTATAAGTAGTGCCTGGAATGCTAATTGTTCATAATTTCCACCTTAATGTACATGATAATTAAAATTACCTTGCCTTAAAAAAAAAAGAAAGAAAGAAAGAAAGAAAGAAAGAAAGAAAGAAAGAAAGAAAGAAAAAGCACGATGTTCCTGATTCACACATGCTTAACTAACTCTCAACCTAGTAAAATGGGATGGTAATTTCAGTCCTAAGTAACCAAGAATCCTTACCATGTAAATTGAAGTCTTGATTGCTGTTTTAGGAAAAGAGATGAAAGTTAAATGGGTCACTTTGTACTGACAGAAACTTTAACCTTGTGGAGAGACGTTTATAAGATAGTTCTGCTCTTGTTCCTTTGTCCAAGTTCTGAAAATGGATAAATCCTGAAAAGAAGTTGGCTGCACTTGAGAAAGTTACACAGGTAGCAGGTGCTTCAAATGACTCCAGTGCCTACAGTATTGACTTGCCTACCAGATTCTAAGTATATAGAGTGAGAGCTCTCTTTGTTTCTGTATCCATCACATAGTAACTTTGTTTTGCTCAAAGTTATTTTTGTTAAGCCATGAAACATGGATATGAATGTTTTGAGCTCTATCACATTAGGGAGCAGAAACTAGTTCAGATGACTAAAAAAAATTTTTTTTTAATGTTTATTTACTTTTGAGAAAGAGAGAGAGAGAGACAGACAGACAGACAGAATATGAGTGGGTGAGGGGCAGAGAGAGGGAGATACAAAATCTGAAGCAGGCTCCAGGCTCCAAGCTGTCAGCACAGAGCCCGACACAGGGCTCAAACTCACAAACCGTGAGATCATGTCCTGAGCCAAAGTCAGATGCTCGACCGACTGAGCCACCCAGGTGCCCCTAGATAACTTTTATTGATGGGCTTTTTTGTAAGAATATTCAAGAAGCCAAGGAAGACAGGAAACAGTCTTCAACTGTTGCTAGACTTTGTGAAGATCTGGGATGACATTCAGGATATTATAGAAGTTCAGTCAGTATCATTTGTATTCTCTGTAGCATCTATGCTTGTCACAGAGTACTCAAATATTAGTAAGGAATGAATTTTGGATACTAAGCTCTACCTCATCTATCTGCTCTCTTTTCCTGTATTCTCAATTAGTTGTCTGTCAACAACACATCTTCTATTTATTTACAGCCTTTTCTGCCTCAAGGCTTCTTTTCTTTTCCATGCTGTTGCTTTGTGTGTGGATTGTGTATCTCATTCAAACTCCGAAAGAGAGAAGTTCTAATTGGATGGACAGGTCACTGTCCAGCTTAATGATCAGGCTGCTCTAGGTATTTTTGGTCAAGGGAGCTAATCCTGGTCCAGTTACCTGTGGTTACTAGCAAGATCACAGGGTGTGGTCTTGCTCATAAGAGGAATGTAGTTATGGCAGACACTTAGAATATCATTCCGTAACAATAAATTAGAGCCTGACTGCTATTCATTCATGTTCCAGGTCAAATTCTACGCAATGGGAGAGCACCATATCAAGCTAGATCATTCTTGTATTCCCAGAACTTGGCACAAAGTAGGCACTGGAAAAAGTACTGGCTAAATGAAGCCTGGTGAAGGAGGACATTCTTTGATCTTAGATGTATAAGGGCCCAATGGGAAAGGCTAAGGAGTAAGGCAGATGTACTTCAACAATTTTTATCCTGTGAGTGAATTGTTATTGACAGTGGTAAAACATAAAGCTTCTAAGAGAAAGCTCAAATCCAAAAAGACTCCGTCTTCACTTTCACATTGTGTTTGAAAGCCATGAGTATTATTACAGAACTTCTCATTAATATGTGGATTTGTCGTTACAGTGGGACTGTTGCAAATCCCAGAGCTCTTCTTTTTCCCATAGAACTGTCACCATCCTAAAGTCTTTATAGCAATCCTTTAGAAGAGGAACATCATGGGATTTGGATTTGTTGAAAGAGCTGCAGCATATTGGCATGTTTAAATTGAACGGGAAGTGTAATTGGGAAATTTTCCAGATTTGAAAAACAAAGGCATTGTTATGGATAATGTTTCTTGATTTTTACCTCCCTCTTTCCATGATCACACACAATCAGCCACCACCACCCATGACAAAGGTGGGTTCTTTCTCATTGCCAGCTATTTTTGACTCAACATAAGAATTGGGTTGAAGAGAGAATCTTGCCGGGTGCCTGGATGGTTCAATCAGTTAAGCATCTGACTTCGGCTCAGGTCATGATCTCATGGTTTTTGACTTTGAGCCCTATGTCGTGTTTTCTGCTGTCAGCACAGAGCCTGCTTTGGTTTCTCTGTCTCCTTCTGTCTGCCCCTCCCCCTCTTCCTTCCTTCCTTCCTTCCTTCCT